CATGGGTGCTCAGGTGAAACGTGTTGGTGAGCAAAGACCTGCCTGGCTGCACAGCCAAGGCTCTGGGGAGCGAGAGAGAGGAAGATGCCCAATGTATCATACTGAAGTTGGACTTTGAACACCGTTACCTTCCTGTTCCTACTTTAGCCCCCCTCCCCCATTATTTCTAACACTTGATGCCCCACCAAGTAATCAAGGCAGCCGAAAGTGTGCCAATCCCATTTGCAGTCTCTCTGTGAGCTTAGTGTGTCACTTAGTCCTACAATAATGCCAGTGGGACAAGAGGACACTCTCATGACTTCCAGGTGTGATTGTCCCACCCTCCTGAGAAGAGGGCCATGGGTAATGCCTTCTTCAGGGACTTGCTGGGCAGCAGGAGTCAGAGTGAGATGACAGATTGGTGCTTTCATGCAGCTGTCATGAGCTTCAGCAAGATGGGCGATGGCAGGGTGTCCTCACCTGCTTGTCTTCTGAAGTGCCCTCCCCTTCGTCCTCCCCATCCATCCTTACAGAGAGGCAAACCAGCTTCAGCTCAGAGGTCTATGCAGCGCCCTCTATCCACTCTCCTTGCTTTGCAGCCCCAAGCCCCACCCCCTCCATGGACTAGAACCAACTAGAAGCAAGATGGACACTTACAGATTAATACTCAACTATACTATTTTTTGTTTTGTTTTGATTTAATAAGAGAGGGAGAACACATTGGGGTAAGGGTGGGGGAGACAGAGAGAGGGAGCGAGAGAGAGAGCTTTGACAGGGGCTCATCATGGTGCCTTGTCTCACCCCAGCCTCCTGCTTAGCTAAGATTACAGGTGCACACCACTGCTCCCAGTGTGTTCAGGTTGGCCCAGGACCCAAACCTGGGCTCTCCATGTGGTCCCAGCCTTATGCAGAGGTATCCTACCTTCTGTGCCATCATGACTGGGCTACTGTTTTTTTTTTTTTTTTTTTTCTGTTGTTGTTGTTGTTTCCTTTTCTAGTAGATATCAATTGTCTGGGAAAATGTAAGGACAAGTTTTACTCCCATTTAAAAAGTAACATTGTATAAAAGAAATTGGAATTTAAAAAATATATATTTTAATAAAAAAGTACTAGAGCAACAATTTCTGTTTTCTAAAAGGTGACTTTATCCATCAAGGTCAATAAAAGAGCCAGAACTTATAGAAGCTATATATTAAGAAGTGTGGGGGCTGGATGGTGGTGCAGGTAAAGCATGATGCTCTCCAAGGCTACTTCGGGGAGCTTCTGAGTTGATGTCTGGAGATCTTCCTGGGTATGTCAGGCTGGTATGTGCCCCTGATCTGGGGAGGCCTGAGGCTGGGTCTGGATTGTGGTGCAAGACCCTGTTGAAGGTGTTACCTCTCAGTCTCTCTCTTATTCTGTTTCTCTTGCTCATGGAAGAAATTAATTAATTATTTTTTAAAAGATTGCAGGGCTGGGATTCTGCAATTGTGAGAGCTGGCTAGGCAAATTTAGAATTATGAGGCAGACTGTCAGGAAGGGCCAACTGAAACTCTGAGCCATGGGCTAAAGCTGGTATCTTTAGAAGGAATGGCTTTGTCCTACTACCAGTTCTAAAACTTTTACTCACTTTCCACTGAATTGCATTGACTTAAAGATCTATTTTTAGTGGTTTACGTGTAGGG